ATTTTTTTCTTCTTCTTCTTTGTTGTCTTTTCTTTTTTCTCTTCGTATGCTTTCTTTGGCTTCTTCGTTTTCTTCTTCTTCTTTTCTTCTTCTTTTTCTTTTCTTCTTTTTCTTTTTTTTTCTTTCTTGTTTCTTCTTGTTTTTTCTTCCTTTTCTTTATCTTCTTTCTTCTTCTTTATTTTCTTCTTGTTTCTTCTTCTTCTTTTCTTTTCTTTTCTACAAATTTCTTTTCTTTTCTTTTCTTCGTTTCTTTCATTAATTTTTTTTTTTTGACTTCTTCTTTTCTTTTCTTATGTCTTCTTTTTTATGTCTTTCTTTCTTTTAATTTCTTCTTCTTTTTTTTTTTTTAATTTTCTTTTCTTTTTTTTTCTTCTTCTTCTTATTCTTCTTCTTTTTTCTTTCTTCTTTTTTTCTTCTTTTCGTTTGTCTTTTCTTCTTCTTTCTTTTTTTTTTCTTCTTTATTTCTTTCTTCTTTTCTTTCTTCTTCATTTCTTCTTCGTATTTCTTTTCTTCTTTTTCTTCTTCTTCTTCTTTTTTCATTTCTTTTTTGTTTCTTTTCATTTTCTTTTCTTCTTTTCTTTTCTTTTCTTCTTCGTTTTCTTTTTTTTCTTTTCTTTTTTCTTTTTTTTTTCACTTTTTCTTTTTTTTTCTTCTTTTTTTCTTTTCTTTTCTTTTCTTCTTTTCTTCTTTTCTTCTTCTTTTTTTCTTTCTTTTTTTTTTCTTCGTTTTCTTCTTCTTCTTTACTTCTTCTTCTTTTTCTTTTTCTTCTTCTTCTTTTCTTCTTTTCTTTTATTCTTCTTTTCTTCATTTCTTCTTCTTCTTCTTTTTATGTCTTTCTTTTTCTTCTTCTTTCTTTTTTCTTCTTCTTCGTTTTCTTTTTTTTCTTCTTCTTCTTCTTCTTTTCTTTTTCTTTTCTTTTCTTTTCACTTTTTCTTTTCTTCATTTCTTCTTCTTCTTTTCTTCTTCTTTTCTGTCTTCTTTTCGTTTCTTCTTCTTTTTATTCTTTTCTTTTTTCCTTCTTCTTCTTCTTCTTTCTTCTTCTTCGTTTCTAGATAAGCCTTCTTTTTCTTCTTTTCCTTAACCTCTTTTTTTCATTGAAGAAATTTTTTTCTTTTCTTCTTCTCCTTTTTCTTCTTCTTTTCTTTTCTTTATCAAATAAAAATTTCTTTTATTTTTCTCCTTTTCTTTTTCTTTTTCTTCCTTCAGTTTCTTTCTCTTTTTATTTTGTTTCAAAAATTTTATTTTCTTTTATTTTTTTTTATATTTTTTCTTTTTTTCTTTTCTTTCTTTTTCTTTCTCTTCTTTCTTCTTTTTTTTTTTATATTTTATTTTTTTTTTTCTTCTTTTTCCTTTATCCCTTTTTTTTTTTTTTTTATTTTTCTTTTCTTTTTTCTTTTTTTCTTTTTGCTTTTTTTTTTTCTTTTTTTTTTTTTTTTTTCCCCCTTTTCACTTTTCTTTTTTTTTTTCTTTTTTTTTTTCTATTTTTTTCCTTCTTTTCCTTTCTTTTTTTTTTTTCTTTTTTTTTTTTTCTTTTTCCTTCCTTCTTTTTTTTTTTTTTTTTTTCCCTTATTTTTTCTCCCTCATTGTATTTTCTTTTTCTTTCTTTTTTGATTTTAAATTTTCCCTCAATCTTTCATTTTTTTTTTTTTTTCTTTTTTTTCTTTTTCCTTCATTTTATTTTTTTTTTTTTTTTTTTTTCTTTTTTTCCCTCTTTTTTTTTTTCTTTTTTTCTTTCTTTTTTTTTTGGTTTTTTTTTTTTTGGCAATTTTTTCTTTCTTTTGTGTATTTTTTTTTTTTTTGTTTTTCTTTTTTTTTTTTTTTTTCTTTTTTATTTTTTTTCCTTCTTTTTTTTTTTTTTTTTTTTTGATTTTTTTTCTTTTCATTTTATTTTTTTCTTTTTTTTTTTTCTTTTTTCCCCTTCTTTGATTTTATTTTTTCTTTTTTTTTTTTTTTTTTTTTTCCCCTTAGATTCTTTGTATTTTCTTTTTTTTTCTTTTTCATTTTTTTTCCCAAATTCTTTTGTTTTTTTTTTTTTTTCTTTTTTTCTTTTTTTTTTTCCCCTTCTTTTTTTTATTTTTTTTTCCTTTCTTTTTTTTTTTTCTTTTTTTCCCTCCATTTTTTTAAAATTTTTTTTTCTTTTATTTTTGATTTTTTTTTTTGGAAAGGATCTTTGTATTTTCTTTTTCTTTTTTTTTTTTTTTCTTTTTCGCCCCCTTCTTTGTATTTTATTTTTTTTTTTGATTTTTTTTTTCCCATCCATATTTTTTTTTCCTTTCTTTTTTCAATTCTTTTTTAAAAAACTTTTTTTTCTTTTTTTTTCTTTTTTTTTTCTTTTTTCCTCCCAATTTTGTTTCTTTTTTTTTTCTTTTTTCTCTTTTTCCTTTTTTCTTTTTTTTTCCTTCCTTTTGTATTTTTCTTTTTTGTTTCTTTTTTTTTTTTTTCCCTCCTTCTTTGTATTTTTTTTTTTTCTTTTTTTTTTAAAAAACCTTCCCTCCCTCTT